TGATGATGATGATGATGATGATGATGATGATGATGGTGATGATGATGGTGATGATGATGATGATGATGGTGGTGATGATGATGATGATGATGATGATGGTGATGATGATGATGATGATGATGATGATGATGATGATGATACTGGTTACTGGATTTCCTCTGGACGCTCACACTTTCACAACGCACTTTGGTGTGAATTCACCATATCTACTGGCATAAGACAAGCATGCGTTCTCTCATCTTTCCTCTCCAACTTTGTTATTGATGTGCTGCTTGAAGTTCCCCTGCCTGCCTCTGAAACAACAGAGGTCCAAGTGCTCCTGGAACGTTCGCTCACAGACAGAGAGTATGCGTACGGTGTTTTTGTCCTTGAACCAAATTCGAATCTCGTGCTTTCAGACCAGCCAATCGACGTGGTAAAAAAAACTCTGGGCAGTTGTATAAGTTCTGGTACAGTTTGTATCTGGAGGGTCAGAGCAACCGTTGTCAACCTCAGACACCTATGGCGCCAACGTAACTTCAGTTTGTCTGTCCAGGGCACAGTTTTTACGCTAATGCAGTGCCATCAACTCTGCTTTATGGGCCAGAGATGTGGCCGCTACGCACAGAATATGAGGTATCCCAAAGTATTGGTCGTGTGGTGGGACATCGGATTAGCAATACTAAGGTAAACCGGATGTCGTTTGGACAAAGTTACTCTCCTAGACTGATGAATCGTTCACACTTTATGGGTCACGTTTATAAGAGGATGTACTTCGCACGCCAGAGGACCGTCTGCTTCGTAGAGGTCTTTTTGCCCCATCGAGTTTAGGCAACCGAGAGTTGGACGGTCTTTGAACTGGCAATGAAGTGGACATTGGTGGATAGCTGCCATCTTCCTGGATTGGAACGCTCGTACTCAACTCACGAATGGTTACCGTCACTGGCAGACATGGCCCAGTAGCGAGGTCAGTGTGGCTCTTTCTTCAAAACTATTACCATCAGTGTTTAGTCGCCCAGTTCCCAAGCCAACCGAATGTGTCATCGCCTCAACACTTGGCTGTCTTCCAAACCCTTCCGTTTCGCGGTGGTCGAACTAACCTACCTTGTGTGAAGCATGGTGTATAGGTGATAAACTGAGTAAAGTTCAAACGTTCCCTTCTGCAGGGCGACGTAATTAACGCGTTTTCATTGGTTTTCTTAACTATCAGAAACAAATAATAGTAAAAATATTGAAGCTCTGATGCGAAAATCCGGATTTGTTTCTGCTTGGAAAACGTGAGATAGTTTGCCTAGAACTCTTCAACTCTAAGTAATCAGCCTGAACGAAATTCGAGGTGGTGCAACCCTCGAATTCCCATCAAATTTACCTTCTGGTTGAACTTCACGGAATTAGCGAACAACAACCCATCGCCAAGTAATTTGGTTTCTTGTTCATAGCCACACCAGTGTCGTTTGAACGTTGTGCTCCCGTTCTGGCGTAATTATTCCGGCGAGTCCACACCAAACGGAAGCACTGGACTCGAGTTTCGCTCTTATTAGAGCTCATCAGTCGTGCATATCCAATGGCCGTACCGGGATTTGAACCCCGGACGTCTGACATGCGAGGCCAGCGTGTAACCACTACTCCACCCACGCACGTTGGATGCATCTGGATTATCACGCCTGAACAGGCGAACGTGTTCACACATGAGCGATTTGATTGGTGTGCCCGACTCATCGAACGTTCTGGTTGTGACGATCGATTGACCCGCCAGTCAGGACTTCCTAGTCAGGTAGCGTGGCGCACGCTTGAAACCCCACTGGGCAGATGAGTTCGATGAGTCGGGCACACCAATCACATCGCTCAAGTGTGAATACGTTCGTCTGTTCAGACGTGATAATTCAGATGCGTTCAACGTGCATCGGCTGAGTAGTGGTTACGCACTCGCCTCGCATGTCAGATGTCCGGTGTTCAAATCCCATTGGATATGCACTGTGAGCTCTAATAAGAGCGAAGCGAAACTTGAGTCCAGTGTGCTTCCCCTTGGTGTGGACTCACCGGAATAATTACGCCAGAACAGGAACACGGCCGTTCAAACGAGAGTGGTGTGGCTATGAGCAAAAATACCTATCCC